TATTTTTCTTTGGACCTATTTTAAACGGTTCGTTATGCTCAACCAGTGATGAGAAGATATAAGGTGACAGTTAGTTTTCGATAAAATAAGTGGACATAACAGGAACTAACAACATTCCACATGGCTTTGTGACACTTCTTAGCGGTTTTCGTGGCAAAAATTGGTCGTTCATTTAGTCCATACCCAGGAACTAATTAAAAATCGAGTTAACCTCTTTCTAAAGCGATCGAACTAGTTTAGAGTTTTGTGGAAATGAATAGTGTTTGTGCACGCCTCAAACTAATGCGACGGTAAAGAGACCGTAGATATTTCTCGCACTGGATATTACTCGCTATTGATTGCAGTCCTCATCATCCCATCTCACGCAGCCTGTGGCTCCACCTATGTGGATATAACGCGTTTGTGGTTAGAGAAGTTTCTCCGTCATCCCAACACCACTCACCTACTCAGATTGAATTAAGCTCCGATCTACAGGTTTGGACTTAGTAGTCCAAAGCTGATCAACTTGGTTTAAAGCAAATGCAATGCATCTGGTCGATTTCACCAAAACATACGCTACTATAGCTTAGAATTAATGCGCATTCAAAAGTCAGTACCTTAACTGCGAAGAAAGTTCTGTTTTATAAAACGTCAGACAGACAGTGATGAAATACATGATAAACGGAAAACGGGCTATTGCTGACGATGTAGCCACTTGAGGTATATGCTTTGACCGCAGAAAAGTAGACCATCAATGGGGATTTATACACACAGCCATGGATCAATAGGCTGGAGGTCAACTGATCCAGCTACGTTACGGCAGAGTAAAAGTTTAAGCAAGTGCCCGGCTGTAACCACTTAATTGCAGTTGCTTCTACTGTAGCCAATAGGCACTTTTCAATTCTGGTGGTTAAAGTCATATAGATGTGCCAAGATGGCTCTCGTCCCTGTTTTTATTCCAAGTACCCACAGCTGTGTGTCTGTGGAACAAAAGCTGTGACGAGCGCCTTGTTGGCACATCTAGTTGATTTTAAATTTCTGAATTCTTTTAGGCTTCATTTTAGTGCAACATACACACCATTGAACGTATCTTTAGTTTACTTACTGCCCACTGACTAGATAGCGTTAAAGCATGAAGCTGTGAATATTCCTACTCTTACCATGTTGCCAAGAGACGGGGCAGTGTTCCGCAATCCGCATTGAACGACATCTGATCGTGTGTCCGACGTATCCTGCGCTAAGCTGCAGGTAACCAGGTAGGGAAAACATGCTCCGGACTAAACCGGAATTTTGCCTTTTAATGACATGGAACAAGCAGAATGGTTTCTGGCAAATGCGCAATTTAGCAACCTGACAATTTTGGCTGAGCCCAGAGGAATGTAGGTCCCTTTAAAGGCAGGAAATTAAAAACACCCTTTCATAACAATCACTTTGCGTCATTCTTTGTCCAAATATAAATATTTTTTCCGTAGAAGTAGTGGGGCACCAGCTACATCCCAGTGTCTGCGTATGAAGTCGTTTTCCGCCCTCTGCATCTATGGTCTGGAAATACGTGTGACCCGGTATACAGACAACGGACTATGTTTCGCTTGTACTTCATTGGTGCGAAACTTAGCAAATGCGTATACTGACCTACCCACGTCGTTTATCGGAAGAACTTTGTTCAAATGATCCATTCTCTCGTCATAATAGCAAAACATCCAGGAAGGGCAACTTAGCTTATCCCCTACTTGTACAGGCAAAATATAACTTAGAGTGTAGGTTGTTAAATTGGTTCAGCAGGTAAAAGCGGTCATTGGGATAGTCACAGACCACGGTATTGTCATTCAAGTAGCTTTGGTATTAATCAGGGGTATGAATAGGTGCAGCATATGTCCGCATTAAACTAATGGGATAACATACCCCAAAGAAGTAGTCCTGATGCTGATCCAATAGCCACAGTATTTTCTATCAAAAAGGATCTGTCTGTTGGACGTGTAACGTGGAAGTAGCTTTTCACATTTCGCCCAAAGATACAAAGAACAACATTTTTCTGTTCCATGTAGTCACAGATGAAAGTAACAGCTTCCAACAACAAGGCACTCTTAAAGAGGGATTCATTTCAAATAAGAGCATCTATTTGTCCCTCATATGGAGGTCCACTAGTTGCTTATAAATGCAAATATGTCACATACATTGTAGCTGTGTAAATATTTGTGTACTGTTTCAAGTAGTCCCACGTTTTAGTTTGTTCATTTACCAAGTCATTTTGATACTGTTCCCCACTGTGCTGTCCTTCTGTGTTTAATCGATTACGACGTTTCTAGAACCCTGGAAAATGACATGCATCTTGGGCATGTAATCAGACTTTGCCATTATTATCTATTCCGACCCAGTATCCCTTTTCTGACAACGTATGTGTTGGCTGGAAAGGTATTGCGCTTGCCGGCTTATCGCCTTTTCAGTCGAGTTTCATTTGGGCTTCTCGATAGCGCTTGGGAAATATGGCGCGGTGGACAACCAGTAACATGGATAACGACCATCAAGAAAGGAAACTCAGGCTTGCCATCAGTCGAACTGGACCGCTATTTAAGCTTGGGTCCACGCCAGTCTTACTCCCAATGGCTGGAACTCATGGATGTTATAGCTGACTAGAGACATCTGTGGAGCTAGTGTTGTTCTACCACATCATCCGTCCGTTTATCTCTGATTTAACAAACAGAAACCTCAAAAATAAAGAACTCGAAATGTTGTGTGCGAAACCTAAAAGAGTTTCGTCTTCTTTTGCCACAATAGTTCTCCTTTTTCTTCCATATTTTCTGCTATGGTCCTCATGGTATAATATTTTTAACCAGATTGTAGCATACACTGGCCTGGTGAGTATGACCACATGGTTGGTTGTTAATGCTCTTATGGATGCTCCCTTTGCACAGCATATTTTTGTGCATTGCGCCCTGTAGTTTAAGTACCTAGATGCAAGGGGCATTAGCAAGGCTCTGAAAGAGTCATGGGCGTAGGAGTATGTAGGTTTCAATTAAGTCGGTTGGTGCGCTTACTTCTTGAACTGTGTCCCCAAATGTAACTGCGTCACACCTAGTTGTGAAGCACAAAGGTTTGGTCTCTGTGACAGAGGTCAACGTTTTGGTTTGTTTAGTTGCAGACAACAGAGATTGTGGAGGTATCGTTCCGGGTGCGCTAGATACGGTTGTGTCAGGCTCCAAAGTGTTTAGAAATTCCCGCTAATTTCATTCTTTTTCATGTGTCATATGTCGGACATATAGTTCAGGAACCAAAACGTTCGCTGACCTTGAGTTTATACACGCACGATTGTTAGTGGAAACAAAGGCGCTCCAAGCCAGTAATTTGTGGTTGAACACATTCAAGTAAGCACTCCGTTTTTGAGAAGCTTGCAAATAGTGTATGTCGCATTAAAATGAAGACCAAAAGGACTCAAAAGTTCTTACTGGCTACGGTAGAAGCAAATGCAGTCAAGAGGCTACAGCCAGAACTGTACAAAAAGCGTGTATTTGCTCTAATTTTTATTCTAATGTAACGTAGCTGGATCAGTTGACCTCCGACCTATTGGGCTGGGGCAGTGTGTTTCAATTCTTACTGATGGAGTTTTTTCTTCTAGTCAAAGCATATACCTCAAGTGGCTACATCGTCAGCAATAGCCCACTTTCCAGTCATCATGTAGTTCATAACTGTCTTCTTGACGAGGTTATAATTGAGAAATTTCAAAGAAATTCCCGTTTTGACTGACGAAACTTCTTAGTTGTCATATGTCTTCACACTTTTAATTTAAACAAACTACGGAATACTGAAAATGTACATCAGTTGTTTAGGCGGCTTTCTTTCCCAGTTCAAAAAGAGAATAATAGTGATTTGCCATGCAATTCTCGCAAACGATAAGGGCCGAACTTTACGAATATGTACGGATGGCTTTTGCGAGTTTGCTATGTATTTAACTTACTATCAGTGGGCTGATCCGTGCTTGGTAAAAGTACTGCTCATGCGTGAACACAAATTGCTGCTTCCGTCAGATGTCTTTAGCTATCTCGTGAATAAAAGACAAGGGAATGAACTTCTCTGATAACATAAACAGCATAGTCAGGCCAGTAATCCCAATTCACTTCAACTTTTTACTTAACGCATGCTAATTTGCATAAGTTTACACAAAGTAACAAAATATTGACCTAATTCCCCAGCTCATCCATTGCCAAGTCGATTATGCCATTAGGTTTGTTCATCAGTGCTCAATAGAATCTGCAAAGTAGCAACAAGTTCCTTCCACTTGTATGTTAGATGTGATATCTGATGGATAGATAGATAGATAGATAGATAGATAGATAGATAGATAGATAGATAGATAGATAGATAGATAGATAGATAGATAGATAGATAGATAGATAGATAGATAAGAGATAGACTGAGTAATAGTTGGAAAAATAGATAGATAGATTGATAGATAGATAAGAAAGTTAGATGGATAGATATATAAATAAAAATTTGGCGCGTCTTCGTTGGGGCAGCGAAGAAATGCTCACAACTGGATGATTTAGAAAATTTTGAGCTACCCTATTATCGGCATCTGTTACTACAATTTCCTTTGGGATGCAAAAGACAATTTGACACGGCGGTCAGCCAAACAGTTTTTATCTGTCTTGTTTTTACAAGTATTACATTTTCCGCTTGTCGGTTGCGCTGTGTGCATGAACACCGAGCATGTGCGGTCAGACAACTTGTGATGTTCCTGTCGACAGATTTTGCAAAATGAACAAGGATCGAGTCTAGTTAACACCCTTTTGTGATTTCCCAAAGATCTGTTTTAGCAACTCCAACGCAGGAATAATACTTCTCATTAATCCCGGCGGTCATGTAAAATAAGAGAAAAAACCAGCGGAGGATAGGCAAAGTAACCTGTTTCGACTAAAACTTTTCGATTTGTAGTCCGGAACTGATTGCTATTTAAATTAACCATAATGCGTTATTTCTACCCTATTTAATTCATTGGTATAGTTCATGCCCGATTGTAAACTCACCGTCAGGTATAAATTCCACGCAGCCACTACGAAAATCCGAAACGTCAAATTTCGAGTTCGCATGCTCAATCGAATCCGAGCTGGAACTTTACTTAAGAACTTTGCGTTATACGGATTTGAAGTGACTGACCAGGAATGTGACGCTGAAATGGACGACAAATATGGGTGCTAATTGTTAAAAGACCGATGAATGTTGATTACAAGGAAGATTTTCAAAGGATTGCAGTAGCTTTATAGTTGTCACTATAATTTGGTGTGGTAAATGCTGAGCCTTTTCTCCTGAGCATCGCTAACATAAATGACATAATCAGATACAGCCATTTATAATGAACGGGATAACATTATGAAATTAATCTACTTTACAAACCACTCCATGGTGAATTCTAGCAGTATGACTTTGAAAACCAATAAAAAATATTGTTTCGTGCCTAAAAATTGACGCGATTTGTTTATCCTCCCAATGCTTATACGTTTAAAAATATATGCTTAACTACCTTCGGGTTTGTGTAGTTACCGATTACCGTTGAAATATCCCAGTCGAGATTTAACTAATAGGTTGCTTGAAGCTGCCGCTTAAAGTTTGAATTTCAATCAACAATCTCACTTTGAATACAGATCTACAAAACCTAACACACCTGTAGCGTGAAGTATCTACCACAATTGCAGCTAGGAACTGCTCCAAAAATGTTAAGGAAAAGAAGTTACACCCAAATCCTTAGATGCCATTTTAAAGGAATAACTTGGAAGAATTCATATTCCAGCAGGAATCTGATTACTTCATCAGTGAAAATCAGAACGAAGTGGGCAACGGTGGAAGTGCTGGGGATTAGCTTTTGCGCAAAAGCTTCTTATAATCATGACTACTTACGAAAATTGCAGGGCCATCTGTCCGGAGTAAAACCGGTACTGGTGTCCGGCCGATAACCAGGGCGACAGATGCAAGTCAGCATGTCCGTAGCTCGTAACGCATTTTTGCAAACACCGTAGGCCCCACACACACTCTGGGATTGTTTGAAGCAACCCTGTGCAGCATTTAAACATCCTTGTTTTGATGGCTGATCTGATGTCGCCTCATAAAAATCAAGTAGCTTCATTTGGGAGAAAATAAGCAGTGAAAAAATGATGTGTTAACCATTAATAACATAATAAGAATGGTTTAGTTTAATAGTATGGTTATGCTGGACGCGGAACTTAACTTTGGTCAATGAACAATGAGCAATAATTTATTAGGGGTCAAGAGTGAATGCTTAACAAGTTCCGGAGGATGACCAGAGTAAGGTTTACAAAACCAAAGCTAAGAATGACAGGATTAAAAGGGGAATTTCGGATTTGTGGTAACGGATCAAATTGTTCCAGTAAATACAAATGTAGGCATACTCACCGCTAAGTTAAAGGGAGGGATGGTGAGTACAAAATATTTTTCAGATTATTTTAGTCTTCCTAATGAAACTGCAGCTAGGAAAAGCTCTAAATCCCGTTACGTTTCAAGGATGAAGTTGTAGTCACTAATAGAACTCTTAACTTACCGGTTCCTCTAAGCGTGTATAACTCATACTGCATCTACCTATAAGTAACTGCGATGTCAGCAACATCGGCAAAACCTATCGATGTTTGATTCCTCGAACAAAGGAAAATGCGTTAATGTGGGTCTAACATTGAAATGACCAGCATCCCCGCTCTCCTGAAACTTCGTGCTGGTGCAAGCCGCCAAGTTCCTCATTAGGTAAACAACAACTGGTCACGCGTCCCCCGTCAGTGTGCTTTTCATGCAACAGAGATAAAGTTTTGACCAATAACAGAAAGCCATATACAAACCGTATACAAACTAAAAACAATTATTTGTAGTATCTAGTCAAAAAGGCGTGATTTAAATTAATAGTGCTTGATAAAGCAGGTTAGCCAAGCAGGGCAATGGAAGACTAGATTGGCTGTCATCAAAGCATGATAATCAGATGGAGGTGATTCCGTTCTGTCTCTCCCAATATTGACTCCCCATGACCGACAGTATCGTCATCCTATTGAATCAACAGACGAAGATAGCCTGAGCTTAGATGGAACTAGGGGCTTGGTGGTTAACTTGTAACACCTTGATCACTACTCCACTGAGATCAGTTGGCAACGATTCGCACAGTGGAAAGGAAACCAACGTTGAATTTGTGTACATGCCTTGTGTTTGGATTGTGACACGCAGTCTCTATGGGAACCCGTTCACTTCAATCACAAGGAACGGGTTCCACAGCTCAGGCGCTCTCCATATAATGAGTGCAAATAAGGACAAAACCACCGGTCGTAAGGTGCCGGGCTTGGGAAAAACAACACCGAACTCCACCAACTCGGATACCGTCCTTGTGGTTGGAATTACCGAGGTCTACTTGAATATGAACTGAGATCTCATTAGAGATTGCATTTCATAATCCGGCCACACGGCGGGTACCCGGAAAACAACCGTGATCATCAGACATATTAAAATACAACTTGAGACTGAAAGCACTGATGGCAGTCATCGATTTGGTCCACCAAATAATTCAACAGACCGAGATAACCATGTGTTCCTTGCGTAACAGGAAGCATACATCTAGTCAGCTTCTTAGTGAATGCAAGGATAAGTGTGCTGTAGATATGTGTACTTCAGTGGTAAGAACGCGTTGCTTGGAATTCGGTCAGAGGCTGCAGGGTAAGAAAGAAAACACTGTTGTCTGATACACAAAGAAAACGAAGATTGGCACGATTCAGAAATAATCAACGTTGGCTCATGTAAGAGTAGGATAGTTTTACTTAGTGATGCGAGTCACTTCTGACTACTTGGGAATCATGGAAATACATTTTTCCACCTGTTGTTGTAAGGGGTTAATGAGGAAAAATATAAAATAACGTTCAAGAGGCCTGCTGCAATTTAGGTTTAGATATAATGAAAGTAACTTTGTGTATTATCTTACGTATTTATAAGGTGGGTGTTGAAGAAAAAGGAGTATTTTTCATTGTGATGCTGAAGTTTTCCTAGGGCTGTAGAACTACCAGCCCACTCTTTGCGGGGCAGCTTTGGTCTGTCTTGTACTCAAATGGTTCCGTACTATGGTGCTCCCAGCTGCCCAGTGTTCAGTATATGTAAATTTAGCTAGCCATCGCTAACTTTAAATGGGGGTAAATAGCAGTCACTAGCGCATATAATTTAAGCAAGACTACCAGGTTCCATCAAAGGTTATTATGATTTGACCCCAAACCTTTTGACGGAAGCTGCTATGTCCAGTTGAAACTTTCATTTTTGAAGCTAGATAGTCGAGCCCATAGGGAAAATTGAACATAAGCAGAGGAATTAAGCTACCTACCTCATTTTGCACCACAACTTTGTCCACGCAGCCTTCCATACTCCTCACGGATGAGCCAGCACCAGCGCCCAGTTGTACGTAACCACCAAAGTTAAAGGACAATGGCCCCTTCGGAATCGTACGCTGTGCGATACACGATTCGGCAACCAGGTCTCGGCAGCGGTCAAGTATCATGAATACGACCAGCTGATTCTGATTCTTTTTTAGTGAAAAAAGGAAGGTAAAATACAATAGTATGCTCACAAGAATGTAGTTTGCACGTTTTAAAGAATAAACTAAGGATTCTGTCATGTCTCTGCTGTAGCATAAGCCAGCCGGAGCACTCAATAAGTTACCAGAGGGCGTACTAGGCTCAGCCGTGAGAACTAAATAAGCTAATTTTACCGTATAATTAAAGTAAGTCAGCATATTACTAAATATATTGTTTTACAATTATTAGTCTTTGCTGCTTACCAATCTACAATAGCTCGTAACACTTTGATCCTCATGGGCATGAACTATCTACTAAAATCAGCGATGTGTGAAAGCCACCTTCGACCTAGCGTTCTCAAGCTACTCGCCTGGCTAGCAGGAAGTGACATCCTGCTTATCATACGAAAGTTTGTTTTCATGTTATCTAAATTAACTGTCGTGCAACAGTTGTGGTGCTATCCGAGTCGGTAAGGGCTTGAACAACTATCTTTAGATTTCCGACAGATTAGGCATTCATCAATTAGAGTATTGAGCGAGCTCTATTTATCAGGTTCACAAGTTCAGATCACGACTTTTAATGAAATACCACTTAGAAGAAGAGGATTTGCTGCAAAGAGATCACTTTTCGATAATTCTCCGCAGGAAATTGCAATCATGAGAAAACTTGATACAACACGATAAGCTACCTAAGGCTGCAGTAGTGAATGGTAAGGTAACGGTTCAAGGGGTCAACGAACCAATCAATAGATCAGTTAATGTAATCAGGTGGCAAATATCATGCGCTTCCACATCCCAAAAACTGAAAGGCAAACATAACAATAAAGAAATGGTTACTTTGGAGTCAAAGCTCACAGTTAGTCCTGGGCATGGGTAGGTATGGTCGATGTCAATCGTTTCGGCCAATGCAGAATGAGCCCTTGTCCAAGCGTCCTCTGCTTGCATAACTCCGGTTACAGCAGTGTAATAGCCACTGCTTCCGGGGTAGCCAACTGGTGCTTCCTGAGGAAGCCTGACTTTTTAACTATGTATTACACATGATAACATGCAAAGGCATTCATTTCTTGAAAATATATAAGTTATCATTCTAGCATACTTGCATTTCTAGTAAGTGCGAGAAACAGCTCCTAAAATGTAAACCAATCAATGCATAAGAGAACAAATCATGGGTATCTATTAACGTCGCTTTAACTTTTTGAATGTTTCTGCTCCATCCTGGTATATTTCATCTGGTGACCTGTTGGATGCGAAAATAGATAATACTATTCCCAGTTCAAATGAACTAGCTAATTTGGTGTGGAATTATCTAAGGTTCTCACATACCCTGTACATATGTAGCAGGCTACTCCGACAGGCAAATAGTTACGGTGCATCGTTGTTCTAGCCATTGATACACATGGCGTAAATTTTTGGTTGCGATGTCTTCAATGGGTATTTTGCCTCATTACTAAATTCTACATGCAGGTGCACCATTTCTGATGTAACTAATTGCGTAAGTAAAGCAAGTTTTGCATCAGAAGCTTTAGTCAGAGGGGCTCGATCTGAAGTTGCATACAAGGTTCACACACTTTAGGTTAAGTGATCACTGAACAAAAGTTTGGTGGATGACCTCCGTAAATTTTTAATGGCTTCCCAATCAATCATCAGCATGTTACTATAGATTACCTTGCAGTATACTAGGATGGAACGAGTGAGTTTTTGAATAACTCTAGTTTGGTAGGGACTCTATTGCTTTTGTGGCATGTTAGCCATCGGTTGGCTGGTACGGACTATTTGATATTGGACGTATTAAAGAAGGCGGAATCAGAAAATACACAGGGTCCCAGGATCACGGTTAGACTGCTATTTGTATTTGCGTTTTTGTAACGAGTTTGACTTCGGCGATCGTGCAACCGGAGGACAATATGCTAGTTTGTCATTCGTGAGTTACGTCGTTAATATTTGCACCATTTAGCAAGGGAATGAAGATATCCTTGAATTAGCAGTATTGTGTTCTGAACCTCATCACCCCGAGGCTTCTCGGAAATCTTGATGTCAGCAACGAATAATAACGGCCGGCCTTTATTGATCAAGATAGCATTAACATTGATATAAAAGATAAACGGTAAAGTACCGAGTACACTTCCAAGAAGGACACCGCTGAAGGTTCGGTGTGGAAGGAGTGTTGGTCACTCAAATAACTTCTTGCAAACGATTGTTAAAGTAAGAGGAAAACCAACTTAAAAGCAGGGGCCAAACTCCAAACGATTATATTCTCTTAAATAACCGTTTGCGAAGTACAGGGCCAAATCCATTTTGTAAGCACAAAATAAAAGTATAATTGTGCAATCGGAGTCTATGCATTCCGAAGTACGGTTAAGCTAACTTAGCTGGTAGGTCACGCAGACTAGTCTACTGAGGGAACCATGTGGAGTAGTGTTTAATAGGCCCAAATGATAAAACCATTCCATCAGTGTTTTTATGACTAATTGTGATTCATGGGTAAGCTGATGGCGTATGCTCACGACTTTGCACTTCGTCACGTTGAACTGGAGCAGGTTATCGGATGACGACGATAAGCCCCGTCGATATAGCTCTGCAAAGCCATATGAACATCCGCTGTCTTAATCTCATGACCCAGTTTGACACCATCTGTAAAAAGTAAGAAATTAGACTACAGTGCACTATCAATATATTTAGTGAATACTAGCAAAAAGGTGGGCCCAGTACCGATACATGGGATACGCCAGACTGGACGTCAGTTAGATCGGAATTGGAGCGATGCACTCGCACATTCAGCTGAACGTTTAATGAGGAAGTTGCGTATTCAACTCCGAACTGCGTAGCGGGTTCTATTGCTGCGAAGCTTGTGAAGAAGAGTGCGGTGATCCAGACTGTCGAAAGCTTTACAGCAGTCCAGATAGAAGACGTCGACTCTTATTCTGGCATCAACTGATTCTGTTCAACTTGCTCGGGTTAGAAACAAGTTTGTATTTCAAGACCGGTTTCAGCGGAATCCGTACTGCTGTGACACCATGATGTTGTTACTGTCAAGGTATCCCATGAGCGACTTTGTCATTATACCTTCCATTAGTTTGAATAACTATTGGAGGAGAGTGACTGGGCGGTAGTTCGAGGGGTCCGCAAGGTTAGCAGTTTTGCAAGTAGGAGTTACTAGGCCTTAATTCCGAATTGTTTGTACCTATATTTTATAAAGACAATGTTGAAAGCACTGAGCTAATGGTTTGTCAAGGTTCGTGGCCGCTGTCTTTAATGCCTTCGGTTTGATGTCGTCCACTCCAGATGAGCTGCGCAAGCGCAATGAGATAAGCCTTCTCATTAAGTTGGCTGTCCTGAACGATACGTGATTTAACCCTGATGACGACGGGAGCTGTGTCAAACAGACTGGGATGACCATTCACACTGGAAACTGTGGATGAAGTGTTGGCGAAGCACGTTTGCTGCTTCTTGTGTAATTTGAGCCAGGTCATCTGTTGCACGCCAATTTGGGATTCACCGCTTCAATCTCCGGAGCTTTTTGGCACATCTATACGGGAACTTGGTCTTTGTACTAATTTCGTCGCCAAGTTCTGTTGGTGATGGAGTTTGTCTTTGCGGATCAACTTGACGCAGTGGTTTCGTTGATTTGTGTAGTCATCCATGGTCAGATTAATTGAGCAGACTTTGTAAGCGCGTGTGTCTGAATCCCTTAAGGCCATACATTTTCATTCCTCGCTACAAGTCAGGCTCTGTGCATGAAATGAGCAACTACCGCCCAATAAGCCATACTTCTATCCTCTCTAAAATGATGGAGCGTCACATAAAGTCCAAAACTGTGGACTTCATGATGTCGCGAAATCTTATCAACACCTCACAACACGGCTTCCTAAGCACGCGATCCTGCATAACATGTCAGTACAGTTCCTCGGAAATCAGTGCACTTTCTTCGGGCGAAAAACCTTGCTTTCTGACGCATTTGCTACAAGCTCAGTGAATTAAGTGACAAAAACCATCCAAGCGACATTGGGCGGCTGCTAGGCCAGGAAAGACCAATCGGTTTCTAGAACGACGTTGGACTAGATATCGCAATTTGTAACGACATAGGTTTCGTCGTTTTCATACTGACGTAATTAGAGTAGTAAGTATAACGAAAGAGCAAAGTCGCGTCATCACTACGGCTAATTGGTGCATCTAGAGTCACGGTGTCGACCATTTGTTCCTCGTTGGTGGGCACAAGGTCCAAAACAGAGGGTGCTTTACCCGTTCGGAATCGATTGGGAGAGGTGACATGGCTGTACTGAGGTACACCGGCGATTAGCACTTGCAATTCAGCCTCGAATTGTTCGCTGTGCGTTGCTGGGACTTCTGTTGCGTGCAGCTTGATATCTTCCACCAGAAACCTGTGACTGTGTGGTCGTGCCAGGACTTGCTTCATCGCAGAAGCTAGGCGGTGATGTATTTCCAAGGTGGACATTGGAGGACGGCAAACTGTTGCTAATGAGACACATCACCTCGTCAGTGATGAATGAAGTGGGCAATGCCAGAGCTGGATAGAACTGTCTCAATTGCGTTACGATAGATGCCTTTGATGCTTGCCGAAATCTCAAATTGAAACATCGGAACTGTGTATCGGTTTCCGCGGCATCCATCAATTTGCTCGAAGCATGGAAACTGATTCCAATGTGCCCTGAGTTTCAAAGGGCATAAAATGCTCTGAAACGGCGACTGACGCGCAGTCTTCGAGGTGGTGGTTTGCAATGGCCCGTGAGATGGAGAAAGCCGGTGCTGTTGTGAAGAGCCAAGTGCCGTACCGCCTCAAATTAAACAAGTTTCCAGGTAAGTCTTCAGTCAATGAGACAGATACTGAGAAAGATGGACAGTTGATCCATTCTCGGCCTCGTCAAATAGCCCTTTAGGTGTGGCATTTTGAAGATTCATTTAAAAGGCTTATAGCAACACCCGCTTATTGCACCGCCGGAACCCAAGTGGAAACTTGATATCACACC